TTCTTCCTGCAATGAGGTTTAACTGGTATTTTGAACTAGGACTTTATTTCGAACGCCCGTTTCACTGCCACGTGTAGACACGGGCAGTTATTCCTGGCTTATCAATTTCAAAAAATGGCGCCCGGCCGGGAACATGCAAATAAAGTGCGGGATATTTAGGTCCTGGGCTTGATTTGCAATTTTGAATGCCTACATTTGCAGCCCTATTTCAAATTAGGCTGCAAGTATAGACATACCCTTCGAGAGTAAGGAAAGGGAACAGCAAGCAGACTCCTGATATAAATCTTGACCCCTCACTATCCTCTCTAAATAGCACCCTACACCCCTTGCCCTGAGCCCCTCCTCACACACCCCAATCCTGACTCCCTCACCACTCCACTTACCCTGCTTTGAACCCCCACACCTTCAGAGTTCCTGCCCTGACTCCTGCACCCTCCCACATCGCTACCCCCTGCCCTGAGCCCCTCCCACACCCACAACAACCTCCTTCCCTGCACTCCATTCCCCACTTACATTTCTTACATGTACTGTTGTATCACAACCCCACAAACCTCCTGCCATGCTGCCCTCATTGGGAGGATGTGACACAGCAGTACCTGTAAGAAAATTATGTTACTTTTGCCTCTTCGGGCCTTAGTCTCTGTGGATCTGGGCCTTAGTGAGATTGCAATCAAGTGATATGACTAAACCCTAAGATTAAGGGTGATTCCTTTGTACTTCGCCCATATTCCCAGCTAGTCAAGAATTTGAACCACGGACCAGGAGCCTGCTTTTGGGAGCTTTGGATGTTTCTGAATAAGTGAGCCAAAGACGAAGTTTGAGTTTGTGTCGGTTGACATGCAACAGTTTGAACATTTATGTCAGGCTTAACTGAAATATCTTGAAAGAGAAAATACAGATTCAAAGAAGTGAATTCCTGGGCCATGGAAAAGATAGACTCTGAATGATTGAATCCTAGAGGAGATCCGGTAATAGATGGGAAAATATATCAGCTTATCTTCAGCTCTATGGCTATGTCTAGACTGCAGGCTTCTTTCGAAAGAGGCTCTTTCGAAAGCATCTTTCGAAAGAGCCTCTTTCGAAAGATCGCGTCTAGACTGCAGGCGGATCTTTCGAAAGAGAAATCCGCTTTTTCGAAAGAGAGCACCCAGCGAGTCTGGATGCTCTCTTTCGAAGACGGCCTCTTTACATTGAAGAACGCCTTCTTTCGAAAGAGGAACTTTCGAAAGAAGGCGTTCTTCCTCGTAAATTGAGGTTTACCGCCATCGAAAGAAAAGCCGCGTTCTTTCAAAATAATTTCGAAAGAACGCGGCTTGAGTCTGGACGCAGGGGAAGTTTTTTCGGGAAAAGGCTACTTTTCCCGAAAAAACCCCTGAGTCTGGACACGGCCTATGAGACTGGTAGGTAAAAGTGTGTGTGCTGCATGGTGGCAGGGTTTGTATCTTCATCTCACTCACTATATTGAGAATCATCAGATAAACATACCCAAACTTTAGATATGATTTTATTTTGGTTTGATTTCATGTGTGTACAAAGAATTGCCCCATATTTACTCTAAAAATGGGGATTTATCAATCTGTCTGTCTATTTAGGTTATTAGAAGATCACATATCACCACAGCATCTGGCTGCCCGATAAGAACATTTTTCAGGCAGAACGTTACTGACACCCTCTGAAATAAATATGATCCTGAATATGTTTTTGAGAAGGAGACAGGGAAAGCTTTGGTAATCTTCAACAAAATTTGAAAATTTACCCCCAACATGTTTTTTGTTTACATTTCTTGGGCGTTTGTATTGTAGAGTGATTTCCAGGTGAATCAAGGAGGCAATGCAATGAGAAAAAATATTTCACCAGTGCTCTTGCTACCACAAATTTCAAACATAAAATAACCACTTGGAAGAATATTCCATCTTTTAGCCTATAGACGATCTCTATAAAAATGACACTGAAATAGTTACCCATCAGGCCTGCAGTGCAATATCTATCCATTCACATTTCAGTAATGCAAAAAGCTATTAAAAGTGATAACACTGAATGCTAGTATTCTTGATTAGGAAATGAATTATAATATTACAGAAAGCAGTGCTGCAGCTTATTTAGAGTTGTAACTATGATCATAATGCTGAGCATAAACTTTCAGGAGGCTTTTCTCCCCCACAGCTTGGGTAAAAAAAAAAATTAACGGACTTTTATTTGATTTGATGAATGCAATTTCAACCGCAAGTAAACAAAATGAAAAAGTTGCAAGATAACAGAATATATTTTACCAAGCTGATTAAACTCTCCCGTGAGACTGGACTCCATCAAATATTAGCAATAAAACTTAACGGAAGAGAACTTGTCAGTATCGATGGCAGCAGCTGGGTCCATGATTTCAAATGTTAATGGGAAAACGTACAAGTGTTCTCCTGCTCAGAATGTTTTCCTAATGTTAACAGAAGATGACATTTTTGCACAATCTGCATAGACATTATAAAACTAACAAATATTCTGAGATGTGTCTGCTTTGGCTTTAAAAGACCTAGATTTTAAGTGTATTTAGGTATTTCTTTCTCAGCATTGAAACATCCAACTAATTTAAGAACCTATGCCTCATTTCTACATTGAAGGACTCAGGCTCCTAAGAGTAGGATTCACAAAAGAAGTTAGTCATCTTATTTCCATTGATTTCAAGGGAGTTAGACAACTAAGTAGATTTGTGAATCACAATCTTGTTTATTTTATATCCCGACTGCCTAAATCTAATGTGAAAATGTGGCTTAGCAAAATGAGAAGAGCAACATCTAAGTATCCTTAAAACCCTTGGCCAATTGGACCTATGTTCTAATTCCTACCCTCCCATTGGTCATAAAATGTCAAAAGTAGCTTGCACAATGTCTTCTTCAGAGGTTAAGAAGAGCCACCATTGCCCCCAGAGTGAATGCTAATTATGACCCATGGTGAGATTTTTAAAATTGCTTAGGTGAGTCAGGAACACAAATCTTGACTTTCTGTGTGGTTGGGTGTCTGGCTCCTTAGTAATGCAAGATTTTTTTTAAAATTCCAACCTTAACCCACCTGTGTGGCATTGAAATTTGGCAACCTGCCAAGTTTGCTTAAAAGGTGTTCCAAGGTCCAAAACAAGGTCTTGTGCCTGCTCTTTATGTCTAGTTGCTATAGTTCAGATCTCAGGGCTACAAGGTAATTGCCCTGAAGGAATAGGCACATCTCTTAACCAAAAACGCAAGTAGTTGTACATTCTGCACTGTGAGCTAGGTCTTATTCCCATTAACATCAAGAAGATTTTACCACAGACTTCAGTAGGCTTTGTATGAGACCCTCTTTGTAGTGCACTGGGAAGGTTTCATTTGCTGTGGACTTTGGTCTCCATAACTAAACCACTACATGTCTGGTGCAATTGTTTTTATGATTTTCTGTGGTTCTTTTCTATTTTTCTGTGTCTGTTATTTATTTATTATCTATTAAGTAGCACCTCGTGACACTGCCCCCCTCCCATTCTTACACTGGGCATATCCCTAATTGTAGCTAAAGGAATATGAAAGTAATTTCTTCCTGCAGAACATCTTCAGTAATGGAGCTTCACTTCTTGTCAAGAGATTCCGGAGAAATTTCCCATCCTAAATCAACACTATTCTCTTTCTACTCCTTTAATAATTATGGAGCCATTGCAGAAAAAACAGATCCAACGTGAAATTCAAAGACAGAACATGGGATAATAACAGATATTGAGAAGAAAATATTTCATATGGATAAAAATGTTAACAAATCACAAAATAATGTATGACAAAAATAGTACCAGTACATTGTGAGAAGAATCTTATCATCTTGTGGAACCTGAAGGTCTAGGATGGATTCTGACCTGAGTGTCTGAAAGTCTATAGCCCTATGTTTTACATGAGAAAAGCCCATTTTAGCTAGTAATAGTTTCCAAAAATAAATGTTTTTAGAAGAGGAAGATGAATACTGGAGAAAGGAAAGAGGCTGCATCTCATCTGAGAATATCTGCTATCTTTCTGGCAGCAATAAGACCTCTCATCCTTGCATAACAAAACCATGCCTTATGAATTCCATTTGTGTTCTGAAACT